TAGATGGTTTTTTTTCTATTTGTTTCTCTCCGTTTTAGGTAGGTTTTGGTCTATTCCGTTTTCTTTTTACTTTTCCTTTTCTTATAAGAAATTCTTTTGAAATTCATGAAATTTTAAAAAAAACGTCAAACACGTGAACTTTTTAGAATTCAATTATTATTTTTCTTATTTTTTAACTTTTTCCAAATTCATGATTTTTTTCAAATTTATGACTTTTATTCAAACTCATGAACTGTTTTCAAATTCATTAATTTTTAAAAAAAATCTTGACAATTTCCAAATTCAAGGACCATTTTTTCAGAACCCGTGAACTTTTTTAGAGTCAACTGGTCAAAAGTCAGCAGTTAGTGGTCAACTGATTCGCTGTCAACTGTTTACCCGAGTACCTGGCGAACCAAACTGACCGAGCCAGTTGTGGGCCAGGCCAACAAGCACTGGTGGTTGCTCGGTCACGCAGTCGTTCGACGCAGCCACTTCGTTCGCACAGGTCAATTGCAGACCCATCAATCGTTGACCAGTTAACTTTTAAAGATAATAGATCTGGAAAAATTAACCAAATTTTAAAAAGAAGGCTCATGATTAAGAGTGCAAAAAAGGTTCATGGATTCAAAATTTTCATGGAATTTGAAAAAAGAAGTTCATAGATTTTGGAAAAAAGATCATGAAATTTAAAAAAGATCGTCAATATTGAAAAAAGTAAATTCAATTTAAAAATCATATTTTTTGAAAAAAGTTCATCCATTTTGAAAAAAAATTTATAAAATTTCATCCAATTTGAAACAATTATCAATTTTAAGAAAGTTCATCATAATTGAAAAAAAGTTCATTGATTTTCAAAAAAGTGCACAAATTTTTTAAAAATTATCGATTTCGAAAAAACTTCATTGAATTTAGAAAAAATCATCGATTCAACGGAAAAGTTCACGTATTTGCAAACAATTCATCACACCAGGAAGAAGAAAAAGGAAAAAGGAAAAATAAAAAATAAAAACTTGAAAATGGAAAAAAGGAAAAAAGAAAACAAAAAAGGGAAAAGAAAGAATAAAACAAGGAAAAAGTTGTTGTAACCAGATCCCGCTAGGTGGCTTGTTGGTTGCACCAACCTCCTCAACGAGGGATTTTTTTGCGAGGGATCGTCAAGGAGGGATTAAAACACTAAAAAAACTTTGATGGGCTGGCCTAGCGCTGGGACGCTTCCGGCGCCTGTTTGTCAAATACTCTCTCCGTCTGAAGAAACTTGTCCCTTAAATGAATGTATATGTATCTAGCATCAAGTTAGTGTTAGATACATCCATTTGAGAAACAAGATTGTGACAAGATTTTCCGGACGGAGGAAGTATACTGTAATAGACACCTAAAAGGCCAAACAGAAATCACGTGAGCAAGAGCGCAAAGCAGGGCACGTGAGTTTTTTTTAGAGGAACGTTGCTAATTTATTTAGTGCTCCAAACCTCCATCAGAGGCTAGGTCCGAGCTTACAAAATCCGGCGCCACCTGACACCATACATGACATAAAGATCTACAGCAACCTTCCCTAGCAAGTCTATGCGCGACTTTGTTTGCGAAACGCCGAACCCATCTGACTTTGCATTCTTGAAATTGAGCTAGCAGTTCCTTGATTTCTTGGACAATCTGCCCGCTTGCCGATAGGTCTTTCTGCATCTTATTGATCTTCCCTACCGCAGACAGTGAATCCATCTCGACCACCACCTTCTGAGCTGCATGTTCTTGAGCCAGTAGCACCCCTCACCGACACGCCAAGATCTCCGCATGTTCTGGATCTGCAGCAACTGGGAAAGAATGGCACGTTCCTGCCATGAACATGCCATGAAGGTCCGTGAGGACCGCTCCACCTCCTCCCGATCCATCCTGCTTTGCAATCGCTCCGTCCGTGTTCACCTTCACCCAACCGTCATCTGGTTTCACCCAACTTTCCATACTTCGCTGAGCTTGGGGTCTCCTTAATTGATTGCCACTCCACATCCAGGCGGACGACTCTATCTGCAATGAGCATCGGGTCTTCGATCTTGGCACATTCCCTTGCATTGTTTCTCACGAGCCACAGCTCGTACCACGCTCGCAGCATCGTTCTCTTCTCTTCTGCAGATGCTGAACTGAGCCAGTTTAAAACCCATGATCGCATGTTCTGTATTCCCTCGACGCACTTAGGCAGCATTGGTAGAGGCGTCTCGACGGCTTTGGAAAGAGATTTCTAGAACAACAACGAGTGTGGGCATCACCACATTCGATGGATTACGGTTTCTTCTCGGCCACATGCAATACAGAATATTCCAGGCTTAACATGTCGTCGTAGCAGCTCCGATCCAACAACCAGTCCACTTTTCAACATCTGGCATCCATGGATTTTCACCTTGTTTGGGACATCCGCTGCCCACAGCTCGTGCCAACTCTTGTGATCCGCGACCGAATTAGACGAGGAGGCCAGTGCCTTTGTCGCCGTTTTTAACGCGATTCCTAGGTGGTACGCTGATCTCACTGTAAAGATTCCATTTTTGGTGAAATTCCATGCCCTGAAATCTTCTTTACCTGGCCCGCCCACTATAATCTGCCTGATGTCTTGGGCGTCCGACGGGGTGAATACAGCTTGCAGCTTTTCTTCGTCCCATGCCCTTCCATCCTTTGATAGAAAGTCGGCCACTTTGATCGTGTTTGGCACGTAAGTGGCACCGAGGGGAGTCATGCTGCCCTCGCAAGGGATCCAATTATCATGTAGAACGCTTATCTTCATTCCCTCCCCCACCCTCCAAACTAGGCCTTGAGCGAGGAGATCCCTTCCATGCATCAAGCTTCTCCAGGTGTATGAGCACCCCTGTGGGCAGGGAGCAACCATAATATCCATATTCTGGAAATATCTTGCTTTCAGAACCTTTGCACATAATGAAATAGGGCACAATAGCAATCTCCATACTTGCTTAGCAAGGAGAGCCTGATTGAACAGCTCAAAATCCCGGAATCCCATTCCTCCTGCTTGCTTTCTAGTGCACATCTTGTCCCAAGCGACCCAATGGACTTTTCGTTCACTGTTGGCAGCTCCCCACCAGAATTTAGAAGAGATAGATTTTAGTTTCCCGCACATTTTCTTAGAGAGCTGGAAGCAACTCATCGAATAAGTCGGTGTTGCTTGTAACACAGACTTGACAAGAACCTCTCTTGCTGCCTTCGATAAACCTTGTCCTTTCCACCCCATAACCTTTCCCCTAGCTGATTCACTGACATGCTTAAAACACCCGTCCTTCGACCTGCCAACAACCGTAGGAAGTCCAAGGTATCTTTCGTTTAGAGCCTCAGAATGAATTCCCACCTCCTGTTTCAGAATCTCATTGTCATCATTACTGCATCCCTTCCCAAAGAAGATTGAAGATTTCTCTAAGTTCACTTTTTGACCTGAAGCCTCCTCATATGCATGCAAAATTGACTTGAGCTTCGCCATATTCTCCTTTGAAGCCTCAAGGAAAACAATACTATCATCTGCAAAAAGCAAGTGTGTAACTGTGGGGCCAGTGCGCCCAAAGGACACACCCTGGATTTCCTTCTCCATTTGAGCTTTTTTAAGAAGTGCCGAGAAACCCTCCACACAAAAAAAGAATAGATAGGGAGAGATGGGGTCTCCTTGGCGCAAACCTCGACTCGGTAGAAAGCCCTCCGATAAGTTACCATTAAGCTTCACCTAAAATCGAGCCGAGGTCACACATCTCATAATCATGGTTGTCCATGCTTGAGAAAAACCTAGCTTAATCATCATTTGTTGCAGAAACGACCATTCCACACGGTCATATGCCTTCATCATGTCCAGTTTGACCGCACACAAGGCGTTCTTCCTCTTCCTCTTCCGGATGGCATGAACACATTTGTACGCCACGAGAACATTATCAGTAATGAGCCTTCCCGGTACAAAGTCACTTTGCTCCTCCGAGACCAGAATGGGCGTCACCACTTTGAGGCGGTTAGCTAGAACCTTAGCTGTGATCTTATAGAGAACGTTGCACAAGCTAATTGGTCTGAATTGGGACAGCAGCTCCGGTGACTTCACCTTTGGGATCAGCACTAGAATGGTATCATTAAAGCCCTCCGAAATCTGTCCTCCTCCACGGAAAACTCGAATGGCTTTGCACACCTCCTCCTTCACCAAAGGCTAGTGCCTTTGATATAAAAGAGTAGGCAGCCCATCCGGGCCGGGAGCCTTCGTCGCGCCCATCTGGAAGAGGGCCTTTTCAATCTTGTCATCGTTGATCGCAACATCTAGCTTGTCATTCATAGCTTCAGAAACAGCCGCCAGGATATTCTCC